TAATTTCAGTTTATGTAAAATTATGTTAACTATCTTTTAAATTATTCACTTTTTAACCATCTTACCCTTACAACCTTTTATAGTGAATATTGCAACAAATTGGTTTATATATATAATATATATATAACATCAGTTATATTAATTGATGTTTACATTTATTTTTAGACGTACTAGAGCTCAAATGCTCCACATTTTTTTGCAAAAACTGTTTATTCTACAGATTTCCAATATGCTTTTAAATGATGATTGAATATTTCCTTTTTTAATTATTTTTATTATTATTTTTCAATCTCAATCAACTTTTATAACTTTATGCCAGCACGATACAAATACATGTGTCTTTATTTTTTTATTATTTTCACATTATATTTTTCAATCTCAATCAACTTCTATAACCTTATGCCAGCAGGATACAAATACATGTATGTCTTTATTATTGTATCAACTCTTGTCTTTTCCATGTAACCATGTCTTCATAGTTTGAATTATCCCTTCATCTTCTCAATCTTTCGCAGAGATTTAATTAATTAAATACACTTCACACGAAATAAAGTTTGCTGGAAGATATACAGCAAACGATAACTGTAAAAACATGATTACGTGGAAAGAACAAGAGTTGGTACAGTAAAGGCAAGTAAGTAAGTACATGTAATGTATCGTATTGGCATAACGCTATATATCCGCGGAGCAGATAATGTGGCTGTAGAGGTAGTCTGCAGTGCAGCTAATGTGGACGTAGATGTTGATTGAGATAATTGTCTAATATAAATAAATTTAAAAATTTAGTTTAAAAGCTGTTGCATATATAAATAAAGTTTATTTTTTCTAAATTTTGGAATATGTTTAATTAATTAATTTTTTTAAGTCTATGTTTAATAAATTTTTTAAGTCTGTATTCAATAATTTTATTCATTTGATAAATACATGTATGTCTTTATTTTGATATGTTTAATATAATTAGAAATTCATTATTAATTAGATATGTAAACTATAAATTCATATATAATATTTGAAAATATATGTGAATATTTAAATTTTATCTCTTCTTCCTCTCCTTCAATCTCTTTAATATCAATATGTGTATGTGTGTACACGCGCGCACATTTGTACGTATTTATTTAATTATTGGATAGTTGAGAGTACTTAATTGATAAAAAATTATGACAATAATAATTGTTTTTTTTTTTCTTATTATTTACTCAGATTTTTTTGTCTATCTTATAAGATAAACACTTTAGAGATTGAATATTTCAAGTAAACTAATTGTAAGTAATTTCACATTAATGCTATAGATGTTTAATCATGAATGTACTAAATAAGTACACAAGACAAACAGTGAGTGAGTGAGTGAGATGAGAGTGTGTGTGAGAGAGAAATAGAGAGAGAGAGAGAGAGAGAGAGAGAGAGAGAGAGAGAGAGAGACAGTTAGCCAACATAACCCCGCACGCTGCCTATGGCGGAGCGCCACTATCGCCATCTGTTGTAAAACGTGCGAGATGGACAAAATTACCACTACAATGCATCTTGCATGTGTTGTGTACGTGTGATATATTGTGCGCATGTGTTGTATACGTGTGAATACGTGTAACACGATACTACTATGTATGCGTGGTCGATGATGATAATGATGATAATGATGACGGGGACGTTTCTTAATAGAAATTTTTCATATTTCGACTTTGCATTTATATATCTCTGCTTACAAATCACGTAGAGCAGAAATAAAGACACTTTTATTATATAATTCGAACTCAATCTATCGATTAAGTCTAGTATAAACTCGATTGCTTCACAGCCATTATTGAGGACTTCGAAATATTATAAAGACTCAAATGTCCGACTCGCGTTAAGATACACGGTGTCTCCGCTACGCCCTTAACTGGTCCGCGAGACACTACCGTGTCTCTTGATATACAATAAGATGTTCTATAATAAAAAAAATATATTTACAATATACTAAAAAATATTCTTACAATATACTAAAAAATTTTTTATAATATAAATATATTATTAAATGCTCTTTAATTCAATACAGTATACCATATAAAGGCTAATAAGAGCAGAAGTAAATATTACGGTTAAAAGTTTAGTTTTATTACATTTAATCAATATTCTGATATAAACAACCCAGATTAACACAAACACTTCTATAACATTCTATACATATTGTCGAGAAATTAAAATATTCTTTCATGTACTAGAAGATGTTTTATAAATGTAACAGAAACGTTGAAATGAGACCAAAATTTAAATATTCTAGATAAGTTAAAAGAATATTCTTTATCAGATTCAAAGAAATTCAAGAGATATTTAGAACAATCTAAATGAATATTTATAAATAGTCAGAACTATTATAATATTCTAAATTTTTAATGCAATACATATATATGTATAGAAAGGAAATAAAAATAACGAGCAACAGAATAGGTTTGATCATATATAATAAAATATAATTGTGATATAATTTAATATATACAATATATATATATTTTGAAAGAAAATAATTTATCAATACATATAAATTATATATAATTATATGTACTCTCTATTACAATTATATTATTTTATTATATATTATAAACATATTTTGTGTTCTCATTTTTATTTCCTTTCTGTCAACATATGTATTTGCATCTAATCTGATTAATCGATGATGTGTAATAATAAAAACTTGTATGCGTAATATAAATTTTAACTTTTCATTATATCTATATATTAGTATTTATTTCATATACATGTTAGTATTTATTTCATGTGTGTGTGTATCATACGGTTAAACATGTTATTAAAAAAATTCATACAATAAAAAAATTTGTGCAATAAAAAAATTGTATAATAAAATACCTATAAGTATTGCACTTAGATAAATGTTTCATAATACTCTATTATAATAATGCTATAATAAATACTAATGTTATAATAATAATTATTATAATAACAGTGTTATAATACTGTTATAACAAAATTCCATATTGCACTCTTAATATATAGCGCTTATTGTTTTTTTGCCTGTTTTAGCATTTCTAAATTTTGCTTTTTACAAGTCATGTCTTCATAACTGTTTCAATTTCGTTTAATGTTATTGTATTGTGTGTTTTTTGCACTGCTTCTGTAAAATAAATTTTTGATATAGTTTTACATATATGTTATATTTATAAAATAATATGTACAAATTAAATTAATACTCACTTATTATAGCAGCAGAAATACGTAAAGAAAATTTATTTTTTTCCTTTAAATCCTATCCAACTATATTGTTCTGCCACTTTATTAGAAAATAATTGAATCATTATTCTTTTAATAGTATGTTTATACGTAGCTCCACCAATTTTTGATAATTCAATCACCTATTAATGTAAAATAATATATTTATAAAAATATTTATAAAAATTTTATTTTTTTTATAAATTCTATTTACAAGCATATTAGTATTGTTTTCGTCCGTCAAATACTCTTCTATAGCATTTAATTCGCTAATGTTTTTCAGAGGAAAATCAAATTTTTTTAAAATACTGTTCGCGCGCGCGCGCGTGTGTGTATGTAAGTACAACAAAAGTTACTAAAAATACTTTACCGTTATCAGGTTCATCAATATAACGAATATTTTCCTTAATTGTATCATCCTTAGAATACTGAGTTATATTTTTTGCATGTTACTTGTAATGTTTACAGGTTTTACTGCATTTTTTATTGCTATCGCGAATAATCCTTTTTGCATTTGTTCCAAGTGGTTTCGCAGTTATGCACATATTCGCATCTATTTTTAAATAATATTTAAAAATTTTTTTTTTTTAAGATATATTTATTTTTAAATTATATGTACTTATTTTTAAAGATTATATATATATATATATTTAATTTATTTATTTATAAAATGTTTTTTTTTTAATTCAGAATTGAAAAAGTATACCTGTACGATCAGATATAACAGGAAAGTGTATCGAACATCCATCTTCATTGTTCAATGAATTTTCAGTAAATGATACATTTTGTGCTTCACTTGTACTGATGAGAGATTTTTTTTGTGTCTTATTTATTTGTTCCTCGAGATTAGTATCAAAATCCTTTTCTTGTACTTTATTTATTATTTTACATGAAGGTCCTGGATTCATGCGTTTATTGACGTCTTTTTCTAAAACAAAATTATTTTTTTTTATTTTTTAAAATATTTATGAGTGTCTCATAACACGCATTACATCTTTCATGAGCAGATAGAAAGGACTAAATTTAATCAAAAAGTTCTGTAACATTTTGTAATGTTTGTAATAATTAAAATGTATACATTCATTCGCAGATTTTTACATAAATTAATTTCTTGTTAATTATTGCAAAATTGCAAAATATTTTCTAGTCAATTTAATCCATGTTCTTTACTGCACGAGTAGTGTGCTATTCCTTTATCGAACACTCTGTATGTATGCGTGTGTACATTGCATACACACAGGATGTCTAATGAGATGTGTGTGTAAAATATTTTTTACATGGATTTTGAAAACTTACTTGTGTTATCAGAATCAGGTAGAGTAGGAAAATCTGCTGAATTTGAAATTTCATCATCCGATGAACTTTCATTAGTTGATGAACTTTGTGATTCGTTTGTATCTGATAGAATCAAGAGACACGGTAGTGTCTCGCGACCAGTTAAGGGCGTAGCGGAGACACCGTGTATCTTAACGCGAGTCGGACATTTGAGTCTTTATAATATTTCGAATCCTCAATAATGGCTGAAGCAATTGAGTTTATACTAGACTTAATCGATAGATTGAGTTCGAATTATATAATAAAAGTGTCTTTATTTCTGCTCTACGTGATTTGTAAGCAGAGATATATAAATGCAAAGTCGAAATATGAAAAATTTCTATTAAGAAACGTCCCCGTCATCATTATTATCATCATCATCGACCACGCATACATAGTAGTATCGTGCTACACGTATTCACACGTATACAACACATGCGCACACATATATCACACGTACACAACACATGCAAGATGCATGTAGTGGTAATTTTGTCCATCTCGCACGTTTTACAACAGATGGCGATAGTGGCGCTCCGCCATATCGGCAGCGTGCGGGGTTATGTTGGCTAACTCTCTCTCTCTCTCTCTCTCTCTCTCTCTCTCTCTCTCTCTCTCTCTCTCTCTCCTCTCTCACACACACTCTCATTCTCACTCACTCACTCACTGTTCGTCTTGTGTACTTATTTAGTACATTCATGATTAAACATCTATATGCATTAATGTGAAATTTACTTACAATTAGTTTACTTGAAATATTCAATCTCTAGTGTTTATCTTATAAGATAGACAAAAAAATCTGAGTAAATAATAAGAAAAAAAACAAGGATTATTATTGTCATAATTTTTATCAATTAAGTACTCTCAACTATCCAATAATTAAATAAATACGTACAAATGTGCGCGCGTGTACACACATACACATATTGATATTAAAGAGATCGAAGAGAGGAAGGAGAAGATAAAATTTAAATATTCACATATATTTTCAAATATTATATATGAATTTATAGTTTACATATCTAATTAATAATGAATTTCTAATTATATTAAACATATCAAAATAAAGACATACATGTATTTACAAATGAATAAAATTATTGAATACAGACTTAAAAATTTATTAAACATAGACTTAAAAAATTAATTAATTAAACATATTCCAATTTAGAAAAAATAAACTTTATTTATATATGCAACAGCTTTTTAAACTAAATTTTAAAATTTTATTTTATATTAGACAATTATCTCAATCAACATCTACGTCCACATTAGCTGCACTCAGGGCTGACGATACATATTTCCCATAATTTTTTAAAATTTTTGAAATCCGAATTTTTAAATGCTCATTATTTTCAAAACATAGTTTTTTGTTTTTAAAAATTTTATTTAAATTATATAGATTAAAATAAATTTGCAAGCATTTAGTTATATAAAATTTTATAACGTATTCGATTTACTGATTCGACTTAATCTTACTTTAATTCTTTTTTTATTTCGATAATACCTACACAAAATCTAATTTTTTTTATAACAATTTCTCTAACGTCCCAGCTGCACTGCAGACTACCTCTACAGCCACATTATCTGCTCCGCGGATATAGCGTTATGCCAATACGATACATTACATGTACTTACTTACTTGCCTTTACTGTACCAACTCTTGTTCTTTCCACGTAATCATGTTTTTACAGTTATCGTTTGCTGTATATCTTCCAGCAAACTTTATTTCGTGTGAAGTGTATTTAATTAATTAAATCTCTGCGAAAGATTGAGAAGATGAAGGGATAATTCAAACTATGAAGACATGGTTACATGGAAAAGACAAGAGTTGATACAATAATAAAGACATACATGTATTTGTATCCTGCTGGCATAAGGTTATAGAAGTTGATTGAGATTGAAAAATAATAATGAAAATAATAAAAAAAATAAAGACACATGTATTTGTATCGTGCTGGCATAAAGTTATAAAAGTTGATTGAGATTGAAAAATAATAATAAAAATAATTAAAAAAAGGAAATATTCAATCATCATTTAAAAGCATATTTGAAATCTGTAGAATAAACAGTTTTTGCAAAAAATGTGGAGCATTTGAGCTCTAGTAAGTCTAAAAATAAATGTAAACATCAATTAATAATAACTGATGTTATATATATATATATATATATAAACCAATTTGTTGCAATATTCACTATAAAAGGTTGTAAGGGTAAGATGGCTAAAAGTGAATAATTTAAAAGATAGTTAACATAATTTTACATAAACTGAAATATTTCATAAAATAAAATATTTGTAATATTTCGAAGTTTATGTAAGATTATGTAAAAATTATACCTTTACAACTTTTTATAGTAAATATTGCGAGGAATCGATTTATATGAGAAAAATTAAGGTAATTCTATTTTGAAAATATAAGTGACCTTTAAATAACCTTGAAAATCGCCGTTTAGGAAAAAGTCTGTGTCAACTTTTTCTTTTTCGAAATCCTGCAACTTTTATCTAAATTTAATAGAAAATGTATAAAAATGCTCGACATTAGTACACACACACACACACACATACACACACACACACACACACACACACACATATGGGTAAATTTATATAAATAGGGTGCTTTAGGAGGAATGATCAGGATTCTAGGATATGATTGTACACATCATTTTAAGCAAAGAAGTTTAGATAAACATGTTTAATAATTGTTCTATTCCGGTCATAAAAATATACAAAAATGAATGATATAATCTCTAAAAACTCACCTTTAAAAAAAGGTAAAAAAAGGCGACCAGTTAAGGGCACGCCATTAACAAAAATTATCCATTGCAAACCCATGTAGAATCCTATCCTATTGCAAACCCATGTAGAATCCTATGAAAAATTAATCATTGCAAACCCATGTAGAATCCTAGGCAAAATTAACCATTGCAAACCCATGTAGAATCGTACCCATTGCAAACCTATGTAGAATCCTATGAAAAATTAACCATTGCAAACTCATGTAAAATCCTATGAAAAATTAACCATTGCAAACCCATGTAGAATTGTATTAAAAATTATCCATTGCAAACTTATGTAGAATCCTACATTGCAAACCCATGTACAATAGAATTGTATGAAAAATTATCGATTATAAACCCATGTACAATCGTAACAAAAGTAATGAAATAAAAAAAAAATTGCGCCAAGTGAAAGTAGAAACTTGTACCAGTGGAAAATTAAAGTTGCAGACATATATAGAGTCGTATAATGAATCAGTAAAAATTTAAATTTGCAAATGTAGAATCGTACCATAAAAAAACTAAATAATATTCTAACAATATTAAAATTAAATTGTTACTTTTAAACGCATTACAGTTAAAATATGTTTTGTGTTTAAATTAATTAATGTTACTTTAAGGTGCATTGTAATTTTGAAACTTAGCAGCGCGCCCAGTTTTTTTAACTAAAATTTTTTTATTTCTTTTTCACATGGCGCATGGACTTGGCATCTTGTTTATCTTTTTTTTTAAAAGATAAGTTTTTTTATGGTACGATTCTACATTTGCAAATTTAAATTTTTACTGATTCATTATACGACTCTATATATGTCTGCAACTTTAATTTTCCACTGGTACAAGTTTCTACTTTCACTTGGCGCATTTTTTTTTTATTTCATTACTTTTGTTACGATTGTACATGGGTTTATAATCGATAATTTTTCATACAATTCTATTGTACATGGGTTTGCAATGTAGGATTCTACATAAGTTTGCAATGGATAATTTTTAATACAATTCTACATGGGTTTGCAATGGTTAATTTTTCATAGGATTCTACATGAGTTTGCAATGGTTAATTTTTCATAGGATTCTACATAGGTTTGCAATGGGTACGATTCTACATGGGTTTGCAATGGTTAATTTTGCCTAGGATTCTACATGGGTTTGCAATGATTAATTTTTCATAGGATTCTACATGGGTTTGCAATAGGATAGGATTCTACATGGGTTTGCAATGGATAATTTTTGTTAATGGCGTGCCCTTAACTGGTCGCCTTTTTTTACCTTTTTTTAAAGGTGAGTTTTTAGTTATATATTTACATGGGATTACACTCATAAACTAGAGGCTAAAGCT